TGGGATTACAGACATGTGCCACCATGCCTGGCAGGATTAATTTATTTTTTACTGCAAAATTTTCTCCAGATTGAATGAGATAATACAATAAGGAAATGTTAGGATTCATATGACCCTAGAGTGCCTCTCCAACCTCCTAAGGGAAACAAGAGAAAGGCAGCCAAAGGCAATGCAAAAAAATGGCATGAAAAAGCATCTCCTGCAGGGAATGTTGATCACAAATGAAAAAGGAATGTTGTGGCCCCCTTCCAAACTCAAAATGTTGGCAAAGCTGTGGGAAAGAGGAGAGAAAATAGGTTTGGACAGTTAAATGAATAACTTAGTAAGTACGTCTCTAAAAACAATCATATGCCCTGGTCTACTAGCCAGTGACTAAGATTCCAATATTCAACTTAATCAATGCATATGATTAAATAAACCACTAAAATTCTCTACTTTCAATTGTTATATAAACAAAACCTATCACTTTATATTTAAGGCACTATAATCAGGTCCCAAAGGCTTGTCAAACCAAACAGTCTCTCTTTCCTAATTAGTTGCTCCTTCTTCTGTACTGCTTATTACTATAATATAATATAATATATACCAGTATCCATGCAATATTTCTACCATTTCCTAACTGGTATTTTATTATTAAAAAAAATTAGAAAAGTATCTATTTCTATTTATTTCTTTCCTTTTTAAATCAATACATAAATATTCATAAATATTATACGTCACTTTTTTAAAAAGAAGTTTGGGAGCACTCAAGTGAGCATCAAATGAAATTTTCAATGATGAATGCACAAAAAATTATTCATGACTTTCTTTTAAACAAACAATCTAGACTCACTGTATATACATTTGGCAAGGGGAGAAAAAGAATTTCAATAGATATCTTGCACTAAATATAAAATTCAATTCAAACTGAATCCCAGATATAAAAGCAAAATCTACAATAAAATTTCCTCAAAGATTTCCTAAGTCACAATAGCAAGAGCACAATCCAGAAAATAACATATTAAAAACTTGGACTATCTCAAAAATTTAAAAATTTCTGTTCTATAAAAGACACCATAAGGAGAAAAGACCAACCAATGACTGGGAAAAAAATATTTTCAAAATCACATATCTGATAAAGAACTTATATCAAGAACTTTATATAGGGCTGGGGATGTGGCTCAAGCGGTAGTGCGCTCGCCTGGCATGCGTGCGGCCCGGGTTCGATCCTCAGCACCACATACAAACAAAGATGTTGTGTCCGCCGATAACTAAAAAAAAAATAAATAAATACTAAAGTTCTCTCTCTCTCTCTCTCTCTCTCTCCTCTCTCTCTCTTTAAAAAAAAATTTTAAAAAAAGGACTTTATATATATATATACACACACACACACACACACACACACATATACATAATCTCAAAACTCAAAAACACCCAATTTTTAAAAAGAGGTAAAAAATTTGAACAGACATTCATCAAGAAAGATATATAGACAGCAAAAAGAACACATAAAAATAGTCACTATCAATAGAGATTAAAACCACAATCAGACACCACTACAGTAAAATAACACTAGAACAGCTTAAGCTGTAACAACAATGTAGAGGAACAGGCAGTTTTATACACTGCTAGGTAAAACATAAAACAGAACAATTATACTGGAAAATAGTTTGATAGTTTCCTAAAAAGCAAAATATCCAAGTACTATATGATCTAGCCACTGTTCAGTAACCCAAGGGCATATTTCCATGCAAAGATCTATATACAAACATTCAAAGTGGCTTATTTTTATAAGCCAAAATCTAGAAATAATCCAAATGCTTATTAACAGGTGAGTGAATAAACAAATGTATCAATATACATACAATGGCAGACTACTAGCAATAAAGAAGAATGAGCTATTGATACACCTTGCAACATAAGACACTCTGAAAATAATTACAATGAATACAAGAAGTCAGGTAAAAAAGAAGTATATACTGTATAATTTCATTTATATAAAACTATAGAAAATACAAACTATTTTATAATGACAGAAAATAGGTCAGGAGTTGCCTACAGCAGGTAATAAGTTCATTATCTTGACTGTGATGATAGTTTCACAGGCGTTATGATATGTCAAAAGTTATCAAACTGTATACGTTAAATATGTGAAATTTATTGTATATCAACTAATCTCAATAAACCTATTAAAATCTGTTAACAAGGCAAACTTTCTTTGTTCTTTGGAAGATCTCTTATGAAAGATTAAAAGCCATGAGATATTAGTCTCTGCTGAAAAAGAAAACTAAAGCCAGGAATGGTGGCTCATGGCTATAATCCCAGCAATTTGTGAGGCTGACGTAAGAGCACAGCAAGTTCAAAGCCAGTCTAAAAAAAAAAAAAATAAGCGAGACCCTAAGTAATTTAGTGAGACCCTGTCTCAAAATTTAAAAAATAAAAAGGGCTGGAGATGTGACTCAGTGGTGAAGTGCTCCTGGGTTCAACCTCCAATACAAAAAAAAAAAAAAAAAAGAACTGAGAAATTTAAACTTATGGTTTAATAGATTCTGATGTTATATCAATGCTTAGAATATATCAGATATAAATCAAATGCACACAAACATCCATGATTTCACAATTCTTTTAAAAGTAACTTAATTACTTTTTTTTTTCCCCTGTGATGCTAGGGATTGAATCCAGGACCTAGTGCATGTGAGGCAAGCACTCTACCAACTGGGCTATATCCCCAGCCTAACTTAATTACCTTTGAAGATGCCAGAGAATATTCCTTATGCCATTAAAAAAAAAAAAAAAAATCAACTCATTTTTTGGCCATTCATATGTAAAGAGAAAAACATCAAGCATTTATTCTGTTTTTCTTATAAGGATTCTACCTCTGAAATTCAGGTAGATAGAGAGTAGCATAACACATTTCTCTTTACAGTTAATAAACAAAATGGCAAAATAGAATATCATCATTCTATCCAGGCATGGTGACACATTCCTTTAAGCCCAGAAACTCAGGAGGCTAAGGCTCACAAGGAGGCTCACAAGTTCAAAGCCAGCCTCAGCAACTTAGGGAGAACCTGTCTCAAATTAAAAAGAAAAAAAAGGAGGAAGGTGCTGGTGATGTGGCTCAATTAAGTGCCCCTGGGTGGAGGGGATAGAATCATCATTCTGACTAACTCTATTGAGTTAGTCAATTTAGATACTGTATATGAATGTCTACTAATTACACACACACAAAGAGAGCTAACTACATGTGATGAAAGAACATGTAACCACCAATAATAATTCTGTCAAAAAACGTTAAAAATCAATTCAAATGAAATATGGTAAAACCTCTAAATCCAACTAGTTTACTGGAAACAAAGACAAAAGAACACATTAAACCTTTAATTTTCATAAAAGATTTTTGAGACTTTTAACAATCAAATGAACTATGAGGATCTTTCGTGGATGTTAATTGAAATTATTTTAAAACTTTATATACTCATAAAACTTTTGAGACCATTGGAAATCTGAACACTGATCACGGATATTTAATTTGATATTAAAGAATTATTGTTTAATATTAATTGTAATACCAATGTATTACAGTTTTTTTAAGACTTTAATCTCTTAAATACACATAATTTATTTATAGGTTGCATGCTGTGATTTAAGAATCTGCTTCCAAACAATATGAAATAACATTATCCATGAGTTGGTCATCTCTGAAGCCAAGTGATGGATATAATATTCTGTTTGATCTGATTCTGCATATGCTTGAATTTTCTACAATGAAGTTTTTTAAACTTCTCAGTTAAATTTACTTTGTAACTACTTTCTGTACATAGATATAAAGATTTCAACTACCAATTTTAATTTCTTTATTGATACTATATCTCTTCAGGACTTCAATTTATTCTTGAGTCTTTTTTTTTTTTTTTTTTTTTTTTGGGTAACTTCAAGTTTGTACATTATAGCATTCAAACAGGTCTGTGACCTAAGCATATAAAAAATTGCTGACCCATGAAATTTCAAATCAGTTTGTGCAACACACAACTTTTCATAATTCATACCAATTTTTCCCAGGCAGACTCTATCTGGTACCATTCTGAGCACACTGTGCTTTCCAACTTTTGTCTTATGCTGATTATTACCCACAGCTAGAAAACAATGCCCAATAAATCTCTCACAGGTCTGAAAAATTCCTACTTGTTTAAAAGCTCCAGTATCACTTCCTCCAAGAAACCTGCCCAAACCTATTTGAGTTAACTGCACACTTCCTTCTCTATTCTTCCTCAGCACTATTACGTTTTCATTCTTCCAATTACTGGACTATAGAAATGTCTTCTATAAGAATATATTTCAGGCAAAAACATAATCACTTTATTTTAATTCCTACAGTAGATACTCAAAGGTTTTTGTTAAATACATAAACATGTTATCTACACGTTCCCTAAATATAGTTTTTCCTTGGACTCCATTGACACTGTGTACAAAAGTTTATACTTATATTTTAAGAGTTTTCAAATATGTTCATCCAGACTTAAGGGAACCCAAGATTCAATGGAAGTGATAGCTAATCTAGTTCCAGTCTCAAATTTCTTCACAAAATACCTCGAAGTGTAAAAGTGAGGATTACTTCCTTGCAATATCAAAAGAACCAAAATAAGAACAATTTGGAAATCAAATCTAAGAGTTCAAAAGTCTTAATGGAAGAAAAGAGACACTCCCATTCTATTTCCTATAATCTTAGTTTATTACAAATCATAAGACCCCTCTCCTTAATAAAACACCCACACAGAAAAATCCAGAGAGAGTTACTTTCAGTAGTTCTCTCAAGGGGCAGAGAATAGGAGTAAGGACCAAGAAAGGTTTTTACTTATTTCAAATGTTTCTGTATCATCTGCTTTAAAAAAAAAAAAAAAAGGTACATATTACTAGCAACCAAAAGAAAAAAAAAAAAGTAACAGTTTAAAAAGCTATCATCTTATGTTAGAATAGTTAAGAAATTAAGTTTAATTACAGAACTATTTTAATATTATTCTTACCAGATTTAAGACCTGAAATTTTGAAGATGGCACTTGGTTTACCATTCGTGACAAATCCTAGAAGTTGCCATACTGGCATTCCATTTGAATCAGGATAGGAAAAGTAGACAGATCCTCCCATTCCCTCAGGAAATGGAATCGTTCCGAGCATAAAAACCACAACATGGTTGATATTTTCATAATCAGGCAAGTCAAAAACAAATTTATCCTCTGCCACTTGCTGTGCAGCTGTCTGTACCTAGAAAATAAGAAACTCCTCTTAGTTCAATGTTTGATGAGTTTCTGTGATACTTATGCTATCGCTATAAATTATGACATCAGCATAGTCAATTATCATGATTATATGAAGTGTGTCTGACTAATCTGGTACTCTTAATTATGAAACTACCAAATATGCCAGAAAGTGTTAACTTTATTATATAATAGAGTCCAAAAATACATATTTAGCCTTAATATATATGTAATCTTTTCAAAATACAACTATATTCTTTCAGAAGTTCCCTGAAAGGATTTTAATAACTACAACTTCACAATGTTGTAAAAATGAAAGGTTCTTCAAATAACATTATCAAGCTCATATCACCCAACTTGAGAGTATAGAACTTCAAATCATTAAAGTGGTTAAGCAATCCAGAAGTAGCAATTATTTGAAGATTCTGTATTTGCAAACTCAGATATAACTCAAAAATCAATGCTTACTATTACTTCTGCAGTCATTCATGGACATTGTCATCGGTAAAACAAAAATTTGAGTTGCCTGACTTACATATTCCCAGCTGAGGTAAAACTAGGCTATGCAGTACCACATTTCAGCCTGCATACTGTAAACAAATATTTTTCATAGTCTATTTGGTGCCATGTTTGTTTGCATTTTTGTACTTTTTGTCAGTGATTTTGCTATTTAAAATGGCCAAGATTTATAAAGTGCTGGTTAGTGTTTCTAACTATAACAGAACTATGAAATACCTTACAGAGAAAACCCATGTGTTAGATTAAGTTTTGTTCAGGCATGAGTTATGCTGTTAGACCACAAATTGAATATTAATGAATCAACAATGCATATTAAATGTCTTTTTGATGTTTATAAAAAGAAACAAAAAAAACTGTGATAGTTGACAACAAAGGCTGAAACTAGAGGCTCTCAGGAATGTACCCCTATAGTTCCACTAGGAGCAATAGTCCAGTATTTTTTCATTTCAATGGTCATGCAGACTTGTATACAAAATATAAAAATTCTTCCTTAAATTCAGTATGTGGGAACTTATAAAAATTCCCTCTTCAGTCAATTCATAATCTAATTGTTTTAGAACTGAACATTAATTTATAAACTAATATATTAAAATTTGAGAAATCTATTCATATTTCACTACATAATCATTGCCACTGCATTTATATTCACAATTCAGTGAATCCTAATCTTGCACCAAATACAATTTAGTAATAAATGATTTTTAAGTAATACCTGCACAAATTTAAAAAGGAAAATGCTTCACATAGTGGTCACAACCCTATATTTTGAAAAAAAAAAAAAACTGGCATAAGATCTGCAATGATTATCCAGTGAAATACAGCACTGTCAGAGAAAAAAAAAAAAGTTATACTTTTAGAATAAAAGTACTGATAATGCTATTTTATATCCATTAGCAAAGAGAAACATTAATTTTGAGAGCACTCAAGATAGACAGGCTGTCAAGAATTTAAATACAGTTTGTCTGGTTTTTGCTTGACAATTATTATATACCAAAACACCAAATCTGAATTATTACTATTACCTCTGAAGACTAAATGGTCAATTATTATTTAACTATATACAATTTATTTTCTGTTAACAGTATTTGCTAATTGTTACCAAAATATTTCCCCCTCTGTAGTATCCTATCTAATAACAAAAAAGAATAAAAAATATATTGCTATATAATTCCATCTATTAGTTACAAAGTAATATAAATTGCTCTAAAATTAAATTCCCAAGATGTCAAAACTGTGTTTCTTTAAATATTTTTTTTAGCTATAGATGGATACAATGACTTTATTTCATTTGTTATTTTTTATGTGGTGAAGATAAAACCCAGTGCCTCACACCTGAGGAAAGCATTCTACCACTGAGCCACAACCCCAGCCCCCACCTCCCCCGCAAAGCTGTGTTTTTAAACTCAAATTCTGATTCACTCTTCTGAAATTTTCTGACTCAATTTAAATTCTCCACTTTAAACATAAAGAAAGAAACAAAGGAAGAACAAAAATATAAACCAAACTGCCAGCATGAGTATTAAATTCAGTTTCACTGATTTATAGCATGCATATAACATTAGGGAGCATGGAAAACTGTGGTTTTAGTCTTGAATAACTATCAGGAAAAATAAATACTTTTTAAGTGTCAACCCTGTACAAGACACCAGACATTCCAGAAATTTGCACTTACTCTAAATCACTGACTTTAAGAAAAAAGTTACCTCTCTTCCAAGAAAAAACATTCAAGGAATGAAAATTAGGTTCATAACTTGAGATGAGTGGTTTCCTTTTTCTGGTAATAGAATAACATAGGTAAGTTTTGGGATGTTGCAAGGTCTGTATGCCCTTCATTTTATTTATATATTTTAATACATATATTTAGAAATATATAGTCTACATATATATTCTATTATATATTATATAATTACATTCAATATAATATAGAATTTAAAAGCCAAACACCCACTCCCAAACACCCTTCTCCCACCAAAAAAAAAATCTTGTCTTGACCAGGAGTGGTGGTGCATGCCTGTCATCCCAGGAACACCTGGAAGATCAGGCAGGAGGATGGCAAGTTCCAGTTTGTTCTCAGCAACTTAGCAAGACCCTAAACAAAAATCAAAAAGGACTGGGGATGTAGCTCAGAGGTAAAACACCCCTGGATTCAATCCCCAGTACCCACCCACCTCCCCACCCTACCCCCCAAAAAAGCCCCCAGTGGATGTGAAGAAATCCCTACTGAATATCCACAATAGAGATTAGGTATTGGGTAAATAGACACAGATATTACTATAATTAATTTCCTTCCAAATTAGTTGACAATATGATAAGTGGGATTCCATATAGCTCTTTTATTCTTTAAAAACACATTTTAAATGTCATTCGTTAATGAAACTCACTCATCTGAGTGCCACACTCCTCCCAAACTGAACCAATTTCCCTATCAAGAGCAGGGTAAAACCAAAATTATTTCACCAGGATGACCAACTACCACCATCCCACAGGGACCTCCAAGTCATTGGAAGGACAAACTTTCTGAGGCCAGTAGTCTTCGTAGTTTCTTAGAATAACGCATAGAATACAAATGTAACACCAAGAGTTGACTTAAAAATCAAAGGGGCTGCAATATTTAACAAGGCAGGGAAGGGGGGCGGGAGAAAAAAAGAAAAAGAACTCTAAGTAAAATGTGTCAGTCTGAAAAGGATATATGGATGGTTTCTACAGAAGCAAACAAAATTCACTCTCCAAATTATTCTTAAACAATTCTAGACGCCGATCTCATTAAATTATATGATCTGGCAAAGCAGTTTCTTCTGACCAATAAAGGAAACATTTTGTTCGCATCTTTCTCTGATTATCTAAGATATGGCTCACACATAAATTTCAGGCATTTTTATCAGCCAATTTCCAATAAACACATTTTTACTAGGGACCTTCCAAAGAGACCTAACAGCTATACAATGCCTTAATCTCTGACAGTCCGGTGAGAAGCTGGATTAAAATCTCAAATTTATGAGTTTAGGCAAGCATTTATACTGCCAACAGAGCTTAAGTTTCTCAACTGCAAAATGGGAGCAATGACCATTTTACGGATTATGAAGGTTAAATCTGAAATACCAAATAAACGTTACGCAAAAAGAAACTGACAAAAAGGGTGCATAGCACTAGGCCCAATACTTGGTACAAATTGCACCCTCAATAAATGACAGCTAATATTGTGACTAATGTACAAGTAAACTGAACAGAGAGCACCCCAGCGTCCCAATCCCCAACCCACACATCCAGCCAAAATTTTTATAGAGGCGGTTTCACAACGTCTCCAGCACCGAGGTCCCACCCTGCTCCGATAGGTTCGCTTTCTGCATCCAGACCCCTTCCTGATACCACCCAGCCCCATCCTCACCAGCCTCCCCGCCACCAAGCAGCCAAACATGGCGGCGGCTCCGCTCAGCCAGCAGGGACCCGAAGCTGGCGACTAGCAGTCCTGTGGCTAGCGCCCTAGAGGAGCCCAAGAACCTTCCAGACTTTACGGAAGGGAACTTGTCCCTCCACTACATAGCTGCAGGACCAGCGGCAAGAACGCCTTCAGTCCCGACGACCTTTGACCCTGCTTCCCAGCGCGAAAAGCACTTCCGGGTCTTATGTCCACTTCCTGCTACTAAAAGAGAAGGGCATGCCAGCGTCAGTCTAAGACTACAAGTCCCATAGGGCCCTGAGCCGCTTCCGGGAAGAGAGAGCCAGGTAGACTGGAAGGTTGGCATTGGTCCCATTTTGGGTCCTCACGCACTCTGGATCCAACTTTCTAAAGTAAGGTCCCGGGAGGAAACGTTTAAAACGTTTTTGTAACCGTTTAGAGCGAACAGTGTGGTTCTACAATAATCGCTTCACTACATTCTTAGAAAAGTTCTATAAGTATCACTAACTCATGAGGAAGAGTTTCAAAGTGGCCAGCCCCAAGTATTTACACAGCAGTAAATATTAGAGCCTGAACTGGAGTCCTGATCTAAATCAGGAATTCTTACAGCTACACGGAGTTCGGAAATAATTTTTAAGAAGTTGTTTGTGCTTATTTACAATTTTATTTTAGATCTTCTCAAATTCCCACTAATATACTTGTAAAACTGGGCAAGTCATATAAGTGTGTGTTTCAATGGTTCAGTCGCAAAATGATTGTATCTTTCTCCTGGGGTTGCTGTGAGGATTGATTAATATATACAAAATACTTAAAATAGATCCTTGCAGTAGTTTGTTTTATTGTAAAATATCCACCTGGAACATGGGGATACCTTTTTCTTTTCTTTTTTTTTTTAATATTTATGTTTTAGTTTTAGGTGGACACAATATCTTTATTTTTATGAGGTGCTGAGGATGAAACCTAGTGCCTCACGCTTGCTAGGCGAACACTCTTCAACTGAGCCACAACTCCAGCCTGGGGATACCTTTTTCTATATCATCCATGAAGAGATCTGTTTACATCCTTCATCTATAGAGAAGGATCATTTTTTAAGGATTAATGTAAAAATTTGGTACCCTTTCACAATAAAAATTATCAACAGTGGCTGGGGATGTAGCTTAGTACTAGAATGTTCACCCTGCAAATGCACCGCCTGGGTCTCAATCCCCAGTGATGTAATAAATAAATAAGGAAAAGAAGATCAATAAGAACTTCTTCAACCTAATAAATGGCATCCGCAGAAACCCACAGCTACCATACACTTAAGCATGAACGATGGGATTCTTTCTTCCCAAGATCAGGAAGAAGACAAAAATATCTTCTCCAGTCACTGCTACTAAATACTGTATTGAAAGTTCTAACCAAGGTAATTAGGCAAGAAAAACTAGTAATTTCAGCAAAGTTTCAGAATATGAGATCAGTATACAAAAATCTAATATTTTTATGCACTTGTATAAATGATCAAAAAATGAAATTAAGAAAACCATTCCATGCTGGTGCAGTGGCATATACCGATAATCCCAGTGATTCTGAAGGATGAGGCAGAAGGATCACAAGTTTGAGGTCAGCCTCAGCAACTTAGGTAGACCCTAAGCAACTTAGTAAAAACTTGTCTCAAAATGAAAAGGGCTGCAGTGTATCTCAGTGGTAAGTGGCCTTGGGTTTGTAATGCCAGATTTGTGGGACCCCAATAGACCTCCAGGAGCTGAATCCAATGCAAGCTCGAGCCTGGACTCACAACCATTTCAGAGGCAGAGGTCCCGAGGAGTGAGTCCTGGCCCTTAGTTCAGTGAGGATTTATAAGTTTGGGGGGGATACTCTATGCATCACAACATCACACAGCAAATCATTTCACACCTGGGGAAATTCAAACAACAGCTCTTAACATTGATTAGCACATTAGTCCGATGGGAACAAGTTGGGTAAGGGTGATTGGTGAGTTCAAGAGGTGGATAAATTTGAACTGATAGGTTTAGGCTGCGAGGGGTGTAAGTGCTAAGCTACTTGGTTTCCTAACTGTTATCAATCACCGAAACTACTGGGAGGGTCACCTGGCATTTCAGATATTTTCCCTGTGTCATGCTGATTGGTGGTTGCTAGGGGGTTGCTCACCTAGCATAAGTGAGTCAGGAACACCTAGTGCTACAAATCTCTCCTGTTATTTAAAACAACTCAGCAGGGTGGGTATGTGCTTAGGAGTGCTCTGTGGGTTTTTCCAAGGACAAGGGTCACGCCCCCTCCCTCTGGACAGGTCTTGAGGTATAAGCTGGTTTCTCAAAAATGGAGTACCCCCCCCTCCTGAAAAAAATAATGAAAATGATTCCACTTGTGGTAGTATCATAAAGTTAAGAATAAATTTTACAACAACAGCAACAAAAAAGTGTAAAATATATACTCTGAAAACTACAAAAAAAATTGTTTTGTGCAGGTACCTGGGTTTAAACCCCAATCAGTTGTTTCTGTCTTTCTCTTTCTCTGCCTCCCCCTGCCCCCGCCCACATAAGAAATTGTAAAAGATCTAAATAAATGGGAAAACACCTCATGTTCATGGGCAGGAGACAATATTAAGATGGCAATACTCTCTCTATTGGTTTACAGATTCAATGCAATCTCTATCAGAATCCCACCTAACTTCTTTTGTTTTCCTACAATACTTCTTTATAGAAATTTACAAACTGCCAGATTTTGTGGTGGTGAAGCCAGATTTAAAGGTAGGTAGTTAGTGTAGTTAGATAAATAGGGTCTAATATCGAGTATGATAAAGAAAATGGAGACCATTATGAGAATGGAGTCCAGGAATCTAGAGCTTGGGGAAATTGAAATGTTAATGTCCCCAAGGCCAGAACCCTTCCTAAGGAACTGTTAATGAAACAGCTCCCAGGAAAAAATGAAGTATTAATCAACCACCCCAGGCCCTTCCAGCCCAGATTACTCCTTCAGTCCACCTATCTCTCACCTTTTGGCCTTCCCATCTGCATTCTATCACTGCAGGGTAAAGGGAAACAAAGGACAGGAATGTGGGAAGACTAAAAGAAGACCTTAGCTATAAAAAAGGGAAGACCTCCAGAGAAACTGATGTGACTCCATTTTTGAGAAACCAGCCTCTACCTCAGAGCAAAGCCTGTCCAAGGAAGGGGGCATAACCTTTGTCCTTGGAAAAAGAGAGCACTCCTAGGCACATACCCACCCTGCTGAGTTGTTTGTCTGCAAGTAACAGGAGAGATCTGCGGTGCCAGGTGTCCCTGGCTCAGTTAGGCTAGGTGAGGACCCATAGCAACCCCCTAGCAACCACCAATCAGCATGACACAGGGAAAATACCTGGGATGCCAGATG